GAGGGGAATATGATCTTCAACCCTCCCCTCTATCGCCCCTGCAGTAATCTGAGCATTTACCTGCGTACAAGCAGTTTTTATAACCAGTTGTTTTTCTGTCTCTGTTAATGCATCCAGGATTACATCTATATCTTTCCAGTCAGGATCCTGGCTTTTTACCAGTATCTCAAATTTCTTTGCTACCCCTATAGGGTCATTTCGATACTCTTTTGCAATTTGCTTCCAATTATCCAAATCCCCTAGAGAAAAATTCACTTTTATTTTGGTACGCCCCCCCGGTCCCATTGCTTCCCTCAGAGGAGCTTGCAGAACAGTCCTAGCTTTACTACGAACCCGGGAAGCAACAGGAGAGGAGGAAATTTGCTCTACACTTTGTTCTGGTTTTACGCTTTGTTCTTGTTTTACACTTTGTTTTGGTTTTACACTTTGTTCTTGTTTTACACTTTGTTCTTGTTTTACACTTTGTTCCTGCTCCTCATCTGAATCAGAGGACTCCTCCTCAATCCGAGGTGGTCTCTGCTCCGGTACTTTTGGGGAAACATAATCCTCTATTCTATCCTCAACCCTGTTATCCTCAGTTCGCTTCTTAAGTTTCAAACAAATTTCCCCAATATCACAACCAGAACAACATCTTTCCAATCTATTCCCTGCTTGCTTCCTTTCTCTTTCTAATGCTAAAACTAAAGGATCTGAAGGTGCTATATTAATTCCACATTCTTTTTGCCATTCTGGGTGATTTTGCAACGTGAAAAACATATCTGCATATATTACTTCATCCCATTTTCCCTGCCGCCTCAAAAACAACATTAATTGTAACAATGTATTATAGTTCAGAGTTCCATTTTTAGGCCATTTTTCCTGATCTTCCAAAATATACAAAGGCCACCATTGGTTACAGTATTTTATCAATGCTTTCTTATTTTCTGAGCCCCCAGGAGACCCTCCCAGTTCTTTCCAATGTGCCAAAATGCACCCTAAAGGACTCTTTTTCATAATCTCCTCACTCTGCTGATTTCCCATTATTAATCTCTCACTCACACACACACACAACCCCACAGACACACTCACACAGTTACAACACTTGAAACAGATACAGAGACTAAAATTCTATCAAACAGGCCACAATTAATAATACAGTTCACCGATACCCAAAACCACAAGACCAATATCAGCACTATAACAGGCCACAAACCAAACCGAATACCAAACACCTTTTAACCTTTTCTGCAAGACACCCCCTGTGTCTTGCAGGACCCAAACCACAGAAGCCCCCTGCTTCCTTTGGGTATATTCCAGTAAAATCCAAAACCTTTTCTGCAAGACACCCCCTGCGTCTTGCAGGACCCAAACCACAGAAGCCCCCTGCTTCTTGTGGGTGTATACCGAACGGACGCTAGCAGCCGGGTATACGCCTTTACCTACGAGATTTCTTATCTCGATTTACGGAAGGCTTCCAAACCATGCGTACGCTTACCAAACCAATTTACCAAACCAAACCAAACTGAGGTGCCCCTTGCACCTTACAGACTATATAAAAGAAAAGAATACCTTTTAGGAGATGGTCCTTGTCTGCTCCCGCAGCGATCCGAATGAGCCGAGGGGTCCCTCCGGGAAAAATTCCCGAGGGCCCTAGGGAGCCCTCTCCTCAGCGGGTCCTGCAGCCGAGCAGAGAGGGTCCCATCTGGGTCGCCAAATTGATTCGGAGAAAACTCCAGGAACAACTTGCCAACAAAGTTTTCAAGCTGACAAGCAGGTATTCTTTATTACGGCGCCGGGAGACACGGGGGATAACTCCACCTAGCGTGTATCTCCCTAATTGCCCCACAAGCTGTCCTTTTATAGCCCCTGGGCATACATACATATTTATGAGGCTACATATGGATTACATCATTTTCCAGAGAGTTCCCCGCATGCGTACAGAATTGTGGTGGTGGTCTCTGAGGGTCGTTTACTTCTTCCAACGATCTTCATCACTTCTGGCAGCCTTTGAAGCACGCGCAGTAGATGCTCATACCAGTTTAATTGGTTCGTTAGCACCAGAGACATAATAATCCTCCCATCCTCCTACTTATCTGTTAGTTCAACTGTAGCCCATCCTGGACACCTGCAGTTCCCAGATACCCCTTATCCCTGTGTCCTGTTTTTCTAGGCTGTTTTTTTCTTAAAGCTATGTCAACTATAACGATTTATCTTGTGAGAATTCTCAGTATGTTCTCTAGCTGCACTCTCTTTATATATTTTTCTCTATGTACCCTGCACCTGAGTAATTTTCCATTGCTACTGTTACAAAGCCATCAAACTTAACACTACTTAAAGCTACTTCTAAAGATTTCTATATACCATTTTGTAATTTCGTGCCCCCCCTTGTCTCAGAGTGCATCACCATACCTGACTTGGCCTTGCTGATCCTCATGTAACAGAATAATCATTTTGAGGAACTTGGGGGGACAACCTAATTGTTCTAAGATCAGCCACAGGCCTTTCCTGCTCACAGTGTCAAAAGCTTTGGTGAGGTCAACGAAAGTTACGTATAACCCCTTGTTCTGTTCTCTACACTTTTCTTGCAATTGTCTGAGAACAAATATCATGTCTGTGGTACTTCTATTAGCCCTGAAACCACACTGACTTTCAGGCAGAAGTTCTTCTGTGATAGCAGGTACTAGTCTGTTCAATAGTATTCTTGCAATAATTTTACCAGCAATGGAGATGCTATTTTTGATATGTTGCCAAAGCACTCGAGGAGAAGAATCTATACGTTGGTCTTCAAGCCTAGTTTGAAGGTTATCCTGAAAGCTGTCCCTCACTGCAGCTATTTGAAGATTATCAACATTGAGCCTCCTCCTCGGAATGCCGCCCCTCTTAGGTTTGGGCTTGAAGTGGAAATTAATTTTGCAACGCACAAGGCGGTGGTCTGTTTGGCATTCTGCACTAGGCATCACTCTGGTCTGGCAGACATCACGAATATTTCTCTGGCGCACTAAAACATAATCAATAAGGTGCCAATGTTTAGATCGAGGATGCATCCAGGTTGTCTTCCAGCTGTCTTTCTGCTGGAAGATAGTGTTGGTGATGGTAAGCTGTTGCTCTGCACAGAACTCTAGTAAGAGATGACCGTTATCATTGCAGCTGCCAACACCGTGCTTGCCTAGTACTCCTTTCCAGGCTTCAAAGTTCTTTCCTACTCGGGCGTTGAAGTCACCAAGGATTATGATCTTATCTTCTATAGGAACTTTCTGAGTGAGGTGACGCAGGTCGGAGTAGAATTTTTCTTTTTCTGCAGGGTCAGCTTGCAGAGTTGGAGCATATATGCTGAAAAGAACAACATGTTGCTTATTGTGTAGTGGAAGACGTAAGGAGATAATACGGTCGGAATGACCTATCGGCAAATTTTCAAGTTTAGAGATGATGGAGTTTTTAATCATGAAGCCAACTCCAGAAAGATGACTTTCAGTTTTGGGTTTGCCTGACCAGTAGAGTGTATAGCCAGCACCATGTTTTTTGAGGATACCTTCCTCATGAAGGCAAACTTCACTGAGTGCAGCGATATCGATGTTAAGACGTGACAATTCATGGGCAATTAGCGCAGAACGGCGCTCAGGACGCCCACTGTTCACTGTATCAAGCATGGTTCTGATGTTCCAACATGCGAGTGTCAATCTGGACACACCTTTGGAGGCAGGTGTATGCCTTTGTCTCTTTGTTTTTAATTGACCGCAATAGAAGATGCCCGTTGGCCGCGGCTAGCCAACCAGGTGGAGGGGGAGATGAGCTTTGGTTAGGCCACCTTTTCTAGGCCTCTCTCCATATGGAGCAAGCAGTGCTGTCCTTGAAAAAGGCTGCTTGGTTATTCAGGATGCTGCCGAACAAGACTGTCATCTCCTGGGTCAGACTTGAGCGACCAATGTCCTGAACCGCCTGCATGCAGGGTTGGGTCTGCGACTTCCAGTGCACCTTATCACCTGCCGTTTCGTCCCTCGCCTGTCGCTACAGGGCTTTGCAAGTGTGGGTAAACCCTTCGGGCCTGCGCAGTGGATTTATTTTAGGTGAGGCACAGCGTGCGCAGAACTGGCCTCACCCTTTACACCTGAGGTTTATCTGCCAGGGCCTAGCGAGCTTGGACGGTGACAGCAAAGTCCTCAGGTCGTAGGTTTAATTAGAGTATCCTTCTCTTAGATGGATGGCCTTACAGGGCTACACGAGCTCCATCTGCCCGGGTTTGAAGTTGGAGTTGTCCTTCTCCTAGGATGGTTGCCCGAAGGCTAGTGAGCCCATCCTGCCCATGGACACACTTTGTCTGACCCTTCATTTGAGACCTGACTGGCATGGGAGACCCTACCGGAAGCATAAGCCACCACCAGCATAACTCCCAACCTCACAAGGGCACGCAAGCTCTTTCCCCACGACAAGGGGGTGTCCGTGAAAGAGGGCCTTAGTTCTATGCTGTGCTTATTCTCATTTATCCTCTTTCGCTCCTAATAATTTTCACAGTGCTTCCTTCTCTAGTCTCTCTCCACTTAAGCTAAAGACTTTGTACTGTTTAAATTGACCCATTCCTTTGTGCCAAGGTCAAAATGGATTGGGGGGTGCTTTTGTTTGTACAAATGAGCTTATGTCTTATAGCAAAACCAAACAAAAAATAAAAATTCCAATTAAATGCAGAGCAGAGCTGTGAATAGCAATGGCCTGGTAATTGCTGTACCAACTTAGATGAAGGTATTACTTAGTGATTAAATGTCAATAGGTTTCATAAACAGCAAATGTCTTTAACCTGACATAAAGAAGGCCTCTCTGGAGGTCATTGTAAATACCAGATTTATTGTTCCTCAGTGGAGAATGTGCTGAAAATGGAAAGGGAAATGTCACTTTGGGGTTTTTGAGTGTCTTAGTAAAACAGAAAGGTTGTTGGTGCCTACAGTAAGAAGCTTTTAAATTCTTGAACTAACTGTTGATAAACCATATTTAAAACTTGGTAACCTCTTAACAAAATGTTAATTTCTCAGGTCAGACTATGATGACTGGAGACCAGCCCTGGCCAGCTTGCTTCAACCTATCCCATTTCCCAAGGAGTAAGTTTCCACTCAGTATTTACTAGGTTATTCTTGTTACTGTTGTTTTATGGTGAAATATAACATCAAGTAAAAATTGATGGTAATAGAAGCTTTGTGCCTCCAGTATTGATTTAAAATTGAAAGTTGATTTTGGCTGAGGCCGAGGGACATCTTCATCTTCCTCCCCCATTTCTCTTAAGATGATCCTGAAGAGAAAAATGGCTAACTGCAGACAAGCAGACAGTAAAGGAAGGAAAGCTGGTGTGGAGAAGAGCGAAGTGAGTGATTTAGTGGAGGAGGATGCTTTACTGGTGTCACAGAGACTCATATCATTCGTATTTTGCATTTAATGAAGAAGCTAACCTACAGATCAGCCAAGTTTCCTCGGAAACCTATTACTGAATAGTAGTGCTTATAAAATGCAGACCTCCGTGGACAAACATTACAACCTGTAATTGTACAATTTACTAGTTTATCACATCCCCTAATGAGCTGATGTCTTAAATCAGAGAGGTCTAATTCTCCATGCCAGGTTACCCAGGTTACAATGAGAACTTGGAGATAGGCAACAGAGACATTTACCTAAGTCAAAAGTGTGCCCTGAGGAAGGTGTAAACCATACCACAATGCAAAGCACTTCACAGAATGACTGTTGATTGCTTTATTAATGCATGATGTTAATTAGTTGTGACCACACCTTAATTGCACTGTAATTAAAGAATTCACCTGATTCTTCTAGGTAGCCAAAATTCTGTTTGTAATAATATAGCCCTGTTGTGAGTCTTCTACTTGCTTCTTTCCGATTCAAAGCTTTCACTGACATTAGTCTAAGCCTTAGACAGGACTCAGGAAAAACTACAAGATTTGTTCCAAATGATATTTTGTTTTTCATTCATTTACCCACCCCCCCAGCCCCAAATTAATGTAAGAAACTTTACCCGTTACCTGATCTTTTTGGAAGGATTATTAGTCTTGTCTTGTGTGCTGTAGTTGCTTAGCAAATCCTTTTATTATGTAGAAAGAACTGAGAAGTGGTTGTGTTTTGGTTTGCTTTGTTTTTTATTCATTTTTTTCCCTCTTTACTTCTCCCCTCCTTCTCCCAAATCCTCACACTTTTCTGTTTTAAATTTCAGGGCTCTTGCACACAAGAAATTCATAAAGTAAGTTTTTGGGGCTTGTTTGTTTTATTGAAGGAGGGTAATTACTTAAAATACTTGTACTAGTCAGTAATAGCAGTGGTACATTACTCAGTATTGTGTCTAATATTTTTTACCTGTGAGGGGCTGTAAGCACATTCTGTTAGTAATAAAAGGATGTAATTTTCTTTGTAATTTACTGTGACAGCAAGATCCCAAGGACTAAAGGCACTGGGTGCTGATAGGATTTACAAACATGTTTGTCTCTGAACATCTTTGAAAACTTTTCTAGGCTATTGTGAATATACGCTGTTCTTGGTAATCACTTTTAGACCTCACATTTCCTTCTTGTGGAAGTAGTTCAACTTGTTTCTCTCTGAAGTGCATGAATATATATTGTTTAAGGTGTAATCATAGAATAGTTAGGATTGGAAAGGACCTTAAGGGACACCTCACACTAAACCATGTCATCCAAGACTCCATCCAAACTGGCCATGAACACTGCCAGGGACGGAGCATTTACCACTTCTTTGGGCAACCTGTTCCAGTGCCTCACCACCCTCACAGTAAAGACCTGCTTCCTTATATCTAACCTGAACTTCCCCTGTTTAAGTTTGAACCTGTTACCCCTTGTCCTATCCCTACAGTCCCTAATGAAGAGTCCCTCTCCAGCAGCCTTACAGGCCTCCTTCAGATACTGGAAGGCTGCTATGAGGTCTCTACGCAGCCTTCTCTTCTCCAGCTTGAACAGTCCCAACTGTCTTAGCCTGTCTTCATACAGGAGGTGCTCCAGCCCCCTTAACCTTGTAGACCTCCTCTTATGTTGAGGATGCCAGAACTATACACAGTACTCCAAGTGAGGTCTCATGAGAGAAAAGGGGCAGGATCACCTCCTTCAACCTGCTGGTCACGGTCCTTTTGTTGCAGTCCAGGATATTGCTGGCTTTCTGGGCTACAAGCGCACACTGCCAGCTCATGTTAAGTTTCTCATCAACACCCCCAAGTCCTTCTCTGCCCAACATGTAGCTGTGCCTAGGATTCCTCCAACAGATGTGTAGGACCTTTCACTTGGCTTGCTTGAACTTCATGTGGTTGGCATTGGCCACCTGTCAATCATGTCAAGGTCCCTCTGGATAGCATCCCCTCCCTCCAGTGTATCAACTGAACCACACAGCTTAGCACTGTTAGCAAACTTGCTGAGGGCACACTCAATCCTACTGTCCATGTCACTGAAGACTTGAACAGCATCAGTCCCAACACTGATCCCTGATGGACACCACTCATTACCCGTCATTGGACATTGTGTGGGTATTGAGCCGGTGACTCCAACTCTCTCAGTGTGGCCATCCAGCCAATGTGACACTTGCATGAATACTGCAACCAGCAACTGCTTATTCTTGTCCTTTTAATTTTTTTTTTTCCCCAGGGAGATGAAATGTGTGATTCAGAGATTTGCAGAAGACCTGAGGCAAGAAGTGAGTCTATTGACAGGTTACACAGAGTATTGATTTGAGGAGTTGCAAGAACACTTGTTCAGAAGCTCTCTTCTCTAGTAGTTTGTTTCAAAACATGGTGTGGTTTTGCTGTGCTTAAGTCTGTTAGGGAGTAATAGCCACTCAGGGCACACAGTGTTAATATGGATGGTTTCTTGCCTTATGCGTAAACATGTGTTGTGACCTCATTGTCTGGCATCAGTTGAAGTCCTTGCTGTGCAGTAAACTGCAACCAGCAAGATTTTCCCATTCTGAATCTCTCAGAGCTTTTCATCTTCTGTACAAAACAAAAAAAAAAAAAAAAAAGGAAAGCAAAATCCGTGGATCCTTACAGCTTATGAAATAACAGGCTTTATTTAGCTGCTTTTCAGTTACATTGTGTGCAAATGGCCATAATTCCCATGAATTAGCAGGAGAAAGGGGGTGGGAGGTTATTCCAGAGTTTGAGGATTCCAGGTGAGAGAAAACGAGAGACAAATAGAGAACTCACAACTAGTTTATTATTATAGGAAAATACAGAGATAGTAAAGGATACAGCAAAGGATACTTCTGATGTTTGGTTATCTTACCAACCCCAAGGACCCTGTGAAGATGATCAGGAAACTAGCTCTGAGAATCATCATCGCAGTGCGATGTGGCAGGCTCAACCTTAGCGGGCATCCCCGCGGAGACAATGTTGACCTGGGTAGCATGAGGTTCTGCCTCCCCTGCATTGCACGAGGCTCAGGCTTTTATACTGACAAAAATGCACACTCATTGCAATGCAGGGGGCCAGCCTACATCAGAAGAAGTGGCTAGCAATATCTAGAAAAGTCTCCAAGGGTCGAGATTTTTCTGGGGAGTTCTAAAGTGGAACTTTTTGGGTAGGAACCAAAGCTGGACCTTCTGGAGAGCAGCCAAAGCAGGACTCTCCAGGGAGGAGCCAAAGCAGACAAACAGTAATTTTCTATCTTTGTGCGTTTTACCATGGACTATTATCTATTGTCCCTGACACAGAGGTGTTTTACTGGAAAGAGTGCGTAGCTGTAGCCTCATGGTGGCTGACTGCTTCATAGCTGCACGTGTAGTTTGTTCAACATTGTCAGCTGGAAAAAAACCTTAATTATGACTCCTCTATTAAACTGTGGAAACAGATACATTAATCTCCACAGTGGGCAAAATTTAGACTAATGGTAGCTCACTGGTGCCAGTTCTTCTGTGCAACTTCTGTCTTATGTATCCCTGTTAAATTTTCCTTGTGGATTTCCTGCACCCTGACTCTGGTCACATTTTATTATAGCAGGAGTAATAAGAATTTTTAATGACTGGAAAGAGCAAGCTGTTAGTCACTGCATTTGGTGTGCAGATCACATCAAAGTATAGACACACATGACGGGAGGATGGGGGAAAACTGGCAGAAGCTCAGAAATTTGAGTCTTTTTGTTTTGTTTTCATTTGTGGTTTGGTTTTGTTTCCTTTTGGGGGGATGTTGGTTTTTGTTTTGATTTTTCAAGTGGAAGTAGCTGTTCTAGATTACAGCAATTTTGTGTTTGATTTGTGTAAAGGGAATTAAAAAGGCCATGCAATGAGTGATGATACCACTTCCCTCCTTGTTTATACTGCAAAGATGGACTTTGTGAGTGGAGACTTGCCTGCAGCTCTGTAGATTGGAATATTAACCATGAATTTCTAACAGTCCCTGGTTTTGTAGTGACTTCTTTTGGCCAAGCGTGGGAGATACTGGTGCTTACTGGCAGGAACTGTAACCTTCTCAATGTCTTCACTTTTTGACAGGTCCACTCATGCTTGCTGAGTGTGCGGGCTGGCAAGGATGGCTGGTTCCAGCTCTACAGCCCTGGAGGAGTGGCCTGTGATGATGATGGAGAGCTGTTTGCCAGTATGGTATGTGTCTGCAAATTGTGAGTTTAGTAACTTCTTTGTAGTAAGTAGCTAATGCATACTTGGCAATAAGAAGACTTACTTGTTTTTGTCAAAAATTCATCAAAATCATGGTTCTGCCAACCACAAGTGTTCACCAGGAAATCTAAATCTTTGTATTGCCAAATCCATTGAACTTCCTTGCAGTCACAATTTGGTTAACATGTTAGCTTTCTCTTGAACTTGGTGTGTTTTTTTCACTGATAGTGTAATGCACAGAACCATGCATGTATATATGTGTGTGCATATGCATTTATGTATTTTTGTATTTATAAATACATGTGTTTGTGTGTCTGTATGTGTGTCTCAGAATATGGAATACTGGGAGACAGGGGAGACAGACTGTTCTGCACATCCACACCTATAGTTTTCATTTATAGGCTACCCTGAAATTTAGAAACAAGAGTAATATTGAATTAATCAAAGAATAGATAGATAGACAGATAGATGATAGATAGATTGACAGATAGATATAAAAAAATTGTTAGCAGTTTCTCTGCCCAATTACATTAGAAACCAGCATTCCATTTCCCATAGTTCTTTTGTAACTCTTAGAAAGACTAGACAGAAAATAACAAGTTTTAATCACTGATGCTGCCACTGTCTTCCCCTGCAGCCTGAGTCAGGTCGCATAGGTCTCACTGTGAATTAATTCTCCATATAGAAAATAAGATGGTAATTATATTAATTCCTTTCCCTGGTAAGGGGAATAACATTTTTTGAATGTTAGTAATTTTAAAATGGGTGTTGGGTGTACAGTGAAGTGACTTTCAGGGGGACCTACATTTTGTGCATCTCCCCCATGCTGAACATTTTGGGACATAAAGAACATGCATGTCTGTTTATACACTTAAATCCAGATGGATCAGAAACCTTTGAAACAGACAGTGGACAAAGACTGTTCACAAAAGGTTTCATCCCTTTTCATTGATGTCCTGGTTCTGTGTCTTTTATGTTTGGAAACAAAACTTCTTCAGAACTATATAATTTCTCCTGAGAGCTTTTGTGGTCCAGGATACTTATGAACATCAGGAGATGGCATGCATGAGAGCACAATGCTAACATACATCGATATGCAGTACTCTGTGCCCTTTGCAAGGACGTTGATAAACACTTAAAGAGCTGCTAACTGCTAACCTTAAAGTTTGAAAAACATCCTGTTCAGACACGGGCCTTGCATTAAGTGGTATTGTCAGTATTTTCCATCACTCAAGAAAACCTAAAAAGCTTAATGATAACTGCATGAAATTAAATCCTTCTTGGCTTGAAGCTTACTGTTTTTAAAGGCCACCTGAACTCATGGATGCTTAAGAAAAAAAGATTTTGTGTTTTTTTTCTAAAGGTCTTGATGGCAGTGAAGCCATGAGGAAGATGAATTGCATTGTAGCACACGATCTGCATAGAACTGACCCCACCATGGCGTGCTTGCGATATTTTCAGCAGTATTGAACATAGTCCAGGCAATACCATGAACCAGGGGAACCACAGAATGTGTTTACAAGCTTATTGTAAAGTAGCGCTAATGTTGAGTCTACATAATGGAGCTCTTACTGCCAAGGTCATTGGAAATTACAAATTCTCACAGTGCTCTGTCAGGAAGCTGTCTGGGCCATAAAATAGGACTTTAGCTAGGAAACTGAAATTCTCTGCAGCTAATCTCTAAGGCTTTTAAATGGGAAAGAATATTGCCAACATCTTTTGTGAGAAGAGACTCTTACGTTTGATTTGTATAAGTGGCTTTGTATTTCTGCCATAGGTGTTACTATGTGATATCATCCAATGCTTTCTGGAGCCTAGGAGTCTGTGGGACACTTTTGTTAGCTAGTGGACTCAAGAGTTTTACTCAGGCAGTGTTCTCAGCATTTCTTTCCTTTCAGGGAAAACTGAAAACTGAGCAAAAGGGAAAGCAAGATAATGACCCAAGAGCATGTAAAAGCACATGAAATAATCTCTGACTTAGGGCTCAGGACTGCTTTCTTAAGACATTCCTTCCTTTCCCAGTCAGTTCCTGTCTGTTCATTCTGAACAGGTGATTTTGTCTGTCACCACCCTTTAACTGATGTTAGTGAATCAGCCAGCAGATTGCCAGCACCACTGCTTTTTACCTAGACATCCAGCCCACACAGCCCTTGTTCACCAGCTGGCATTTCCAGAGAAACTGAACCGAAAACAAAATCTCCTGTGGTTCCCCTAGGGGTGGGTTCATCATGTTACTAGGGATGGGGGCAATTGCACAGCTGCTCTGATGTTTCCTGGAGAGACTATATCAGGCCTCTGGGCTGTCAGCTGAGCTCCTTCATGGAGGAAAACTACCTGCTCCCTTAGATCTCACTAGGCATCACTTCCAATAAAGCTGTTAAGAGACTGCAGCCATAATCATAATGAGGGACCCCTTTTCTTTAGGTTTGTCACAAATACTTATATTTGTTTGAGTGCCTAACAGCATCCCTTCCAGAGGTATATGTGTTTCTTAGGCTTATACCTCTAATTTTAGCTCTGTTTCTCAAATAGGTTCATATTTTAATGGGATCCTGCTATAAAACAAAGAAGTTCCTGCTTTCACTGGCTGAAAATAAATTAGGACCTTGTGTGCTACTGGCCTTGAGGGGTAACCAGACAATGGTAGAGGTAAGCCCTAAACATATGTGGTCATATTTTATGAGCAGTATTCAGATTCAGTTTCACACTGTCTTTCCTGGAATTAGGTCTAGTGGAACTAGAGAAGCCATGTTCAGGTTTGTGTCATATCAAACACCAGAAGTTGTGTTACTCTTCATTAAGTGAAATGGAATATTGTTGTTCTGCAGGTGTCAGTGCGAATTACATGAAATGTGGGTGCAGGAATTTTTGGAGAGAGATTGCTCTACTTCAGTTGGAGAGGCTAAGATGAGAAATAAATGGCTATGATGATGTAGGCTGTGGAGGGGGGTCAGAACTCAGAACTGCAAGGCTTTTCCATGACTAAATACCTAATGCTTGTCTTGCCACCTGCAAAATGAGCAGTGCATTTACAAAATCTTATTTACTTACATTAATAAACATTTTTTTGTGCTTATGATTGTTTATTTTTGTTGCACTAGTAGTTTATACATAATTTTTCTGGGTTTCTTTAAAGATGTTTCTTGATAAATGCCATACATGGAAATAGAGGATGGTTAAATAGGTGGAAGGAGTTACAGTTTTTCCTTAAGTTATATCTGTGCGTGCTAATTTAATCCAGTAAATAAAAGTGTGTTGCGTGAATTTGAATATAATGTTGTTTGATTTTTTTCATTAAAAATAATTAGAATGATGGAGGGAATAATAGCTTTGCATTTTAATTGCAACGGCATGATGTGTAGCTGAAAATGCAGGGCAGCATGAGGGGGGGCAGCTTGTGTCCGAAGCCCATGCAACCCACTAGAATCATTCCCTAGTGTCTAACTTGCTCCTGGCAGCCCCTTGCTCAGGGGTGATTCAGGCATATTCCCAATGAGATGGAGGGTGTCCTGGCCACAGCAGCAAGCTCCCAGCATCACCTTCTCTGAGAGCCTCCCTGACCTTTCCTCATTCTGCCTCATAGACAGGATACACTTCACCTGCATTCTGCTTGCCCAGAAACCCCAGCACTTAGGGACAGAAAATCCAGCACTTAGGGAACTGCTTGGCTCTGCTGCTCATGTGTAATATCCCAAGTGTGCCAGTCTGCAGTCTTGTCAGTGTACCTGGGAAATACTGGATCGATTGTACCTGTTCTGAAGCAGGCTGTGACATGAATCCATCTTCCAGGACTGACACAAAGTAATTGCACCTCTCAGTCAGAAGGAATGAGCACTAATGGAAGACAGGATAGATAGGCTGACTTTCAGACATCAGAGTTCATTCTTTACAAATAAAAATTGGTTTCTTGTGTTGGAAGGTCAGCAAAGGTTGCTATGATCCTCTAATCTAGTCTGCATAATGTGTGCTCTAAGAACTTATCCAAGTAATTTAAACTAGCATGCCCAGTGTAATTAGGATGTTTGGAAGAAACTGAATCTAAGTACTGCAGTGATCACTCTTCTTTCATTCTGCTGCTAGATTTTGTGTTTGATGCTGGAATACAACATCATTGATAATAACGACACCCATCTCCAGATCATCTCTACCCTGGAAAGCACGGACATGGGAAAGAGAATGTATGAACAGCTGTGTGACAGGCAGAGGGAGTTAAAAGAGCTGGTATGTCACCCTGCATGCAGTATTGCCATAGCACATTGTGGTCTGTCCTCTCCAGAAATGGCGATACAAAAGAAAGACAAGCAGGGTATGAAATTCCCAGTTAACAACAGAATGGGAGCAGTATTTGGAGGATTTTACTGTGAATATATATACTGTGATATTTACTCATGTCTAATCCCGTACTATGTTTATGAATGATATTTAATAACCTGCTTAGACTCTGTGTGAAAGAATAAAGGTGAAATCCTGCTGTCTTAAGATCTTAAAAGTCAGCTTGTCAAATTCTGCCACCTTTTGACATATGAGTAGCAAATGGTTCTAGTCCTGCCCAGCTTTGACATTCACAGCAGTCCACTGAGATGGTCTTTTAGGTCTGGTTCTTAGAACTAGAGCCTATGAGAGAAAGATCTCCCCCCCCCCCCCGATGATAAGATCTTCAGGTTGAAGATAGATGTGCTTTCATTAGCACTTTTTCCACCTATGCAAACATACCCACAATCTTTATCTTCCCTCTTTCACATTTATATTTGTCGTCTTTAACCCCTGCTCCCACCCTGAAAAATATATGCTTTTTTTGAAGGTGTTTCTTAACAAATGGTTTTATCAGCTGTGCAGTCTCAACCCCTTTGCTATCTTAGTCCAGCATTTTAAGGCTGTTTCGTTTAAAGTGAATGTAACCACATAATGGCAGGCTGAATCAGGCAAAATGCTGACCCATGGCACGAAGACCACTAACTGCAGTTAGTGGATGTCCCCTGGGTAGCAACAGGCCTGCATCTAGCACACTCAGGAAAACATCTGTCAGTGCAGAAAGAGCAGGGACAAGGTGGAAGGGTTGACAGGGAGCTTTGAAATTAGAGCAGGGTTCACCCTAGTGAAGAGCTTGCTGTACTTCAGGCGGTCTGAAGCCTAGAAAGGCACCTTGTTTGAACAAAATATCTTCTCTTTTACAGCAAAGAAAAGGTGGTCCCACAAGGTTAACACTGCCATCCAAGTCCACAGTAAGTTAATCACATCAATAGAAAAACAAGCTTTATCTTGCCATATTTAAACACTTGGTTTATGTTTGCCATGTGGCACAGTGGTTTTGGTCAGTCAAGAGGGGAGCCATGCCACTTGCTCTGTCACCATAACTGGAGTTTACACAAGTAAGGGCATAATTCTGCTCTTGGGTCTGTGTGGCAGTTTCAAACACAGGTCCAAGCATCAGGCTGTCAAGTTTATACTGGTGTGCAGATTTGGAATGGTAGATTTGAGGGAAGAATTTTGCATTAAAAAACAGACTTCACAATGTCCAGTTCTGGGTCTTAGACATGAAAGTCTGAAAGAGACCCATCATTATTGCGCTTAAGCCTGGTGTAAAACCAGACTAACTTCACTGAGGCCAAGTAATGATCCTGAATATGGTTTTGATTTAGAACTTGCAGTGGAATCTTCGTTAAGTTAAAAGGCCTACTGAAGCCATTGTGTCTTGCAAAGATACACACACAAAGAAAAATTTTGTCCTAATGTCTGGATAAATTTTTCCCCAGGTATGTGAAGCAACACTGCCACAAGAGCCCAGCTGCTTGCCAAACAAACAGAAACTTCTCTGTGTGGTTCTCTATTACTCCAAACAAGTCTTATAATTGTGCAACTCCCTCTGGTTAACAGTATCGGTGACACCACTGCAGATTGCAGGCTGAGGAGTCAATAATCTTGCTCATCAATCTCTTGTTTGCTTTCAGGATGCAGACCTGGCCCGCTTGCTAAGCTCGGGATCTTTTGGAAATTTGGAAAACCTCAGCCTAGCCTTTACCGATGTGACAAGTGCTTGTGCTGAGCACCTCATTAAACTGCCTTCACTCAAGCAGCTGAACCTGTGGTCAACTCAGATAAGTGCTTTGCAGACTGAAACTCAGAGCAGGAATTAGATAACTAATTCTGAAATTTCACGTTACATCAGCACAAGAAGAGTGTGTGAAGAGGCTTGCTTAGAATGAGTTTGGTTTTGTGCTATTTTTACAGGGCCTTTCTATGGTCTAGCTCATCTTGGAGGCTGATTTTTCTTTTCTACCTTTTTTTATTTTTTAAATTTTATTTTATTTATAATTATGAAAGAGTTTCTGCTTGGGTTGAATGTTCCAATTAGGCATTGTTGATACTGTGTACTCTGCAGTACACGTGCTGCTGTTTGTCTGAGAAGTGCTTATGCTTTCACCCATTTGGGATGAAAAAAATGGACCTGTGCAGCTCATCTGGTCAAGTAAAACAGTCTGTGCAGTGCAAGCAGTGAATTGCTCTGAATGCTGATCAACCAGAATTTCTTTAAAAACAACAGCAACAAAAAGAAACTCAAACAATGAATAAGTAGAAGGAAACTATAATGAGAATGGGGTTATTTTCTAAGCAAAAAGAAGCCAAGTTAACTTAATAAATTGTTCAGTTGTTAATTGAAAGAGCTTTTAAAATTAATTTTTTTTCTACATTTCCCTTCTGGTTTTGGTCTCTGAGGTTCTCCACTGAACAGGTTTTCCCCATTTTCTGTTAGCACCTGTTTGTAGTGCTCGCTGGAAATATGTTTATTCTCAGCACAACCACAAAAAGCAGCATTTTTTTTCCACTCAAATGTCATGTAAATAATCTTGTTTTGTTTTCCTAGCTACTTTTGTATCCTAGAGATTTCCTCTTTTTGTGTGGGGAATATGAAATACAATCTGTTTGCTTGCTTGTTTTAAGACTGTCTTGTATATCTTCCAGATTTGTTCTAGCAATGTAACTTTTGGATTTGAAAACTTTTATGCTTCTTACTCAAACTGAGTTTGATTTCACTGGACAAAGAGCCTGATTTTTTTATAATTTTTTTTATTTAGTATTAAAAAAAAAAAGAAGACAGTTTAGATTCCATTTATTTTGTGATATCCTGGTTTCCATTAGGCTAGAATTTAGAAACAGCAGAAACTAAGTGGGTCAGTAGAACAATTACCAACCAATAGTACATTGTTCTTGAGACCAACATAGCTAATTAATACCACATATTATGCTCTTGTTTTGTGATGTGGTTGGGAACTGGCTGAGACCATCATAACCATCTTGTATAGCTTGAGTGGGACTGCTCTCATACAAAGTCCAGGCTTCAAAGGCACCATTCTAATTAAATGGTGGCCTGCTGTTAAGTGTGCCCAAGTCACTTAATTTTTCTGTTTCCCATCTGCAAAATGGGGATAAAACTATTTGCTTTCTCTTCTGTCATTTGAGACTACGGAAAACAATCAAAGTGTGGCTTTGAGGGCTCATCTGTGAATCTCATTTCAATGTGCCCTGTTTGCACTGAGCTACTTGCACATATTTGTGCATTGTTTAAAAACTCTGCTTGTGCCCCACAGTTTGGAGATGCAGGGCTGCGGCTTCTCTCTGAACACCTTACGATGCTGCAAGTGCTCAACCTCTGTGAGACTCCTGTCACGGATGCTGGGCTGCTGGCTCTTAGTTGTAAGTGACCAAAATAAGCTACAGAAGAAAATGACATGGGTTCGGAGGAATTCACATGGTTTCAGACAGCTGCCACAGCTCTGCTTCTGCAAAGATTTAGAACAGGCTATGGTTGTGTTTGGGTTTAAACTTCCCTCCTCCCTGCCCACTCAAGTGGCTGTTAATCTGCAAGCAGGGGAAACAGGAGGGTGATCTGAGCCCAATGATGCTCAGTGGCCTTCTGTGGGCTTTGCTGTCCCAGACAGTACTCTGGCTTCTGCCTCTGACTTTACCAGTGGCACTTGTCTTGATCTCACATAGTGACCTGTTGCCCTGGGACGTCCCAGCTTTTTTTCATGCACACTGTCCCCTTGCTTGGGTGGGAGTCTGACCTTGTGATGGAGGAGGGGAAGATTGCAAAACCATGTAGCAACATATTATTGAGTTTAGCAACTGTGAGCAGCAGGTTTCATACCCTCTCTGGCATTTTTTTTTGTTCCCTCTTTTTGGGGGGGAGGTGAAACTCTCTATTCTTAATTTAAATAGGGTGAGGCAGAGTGGAGCCATCTAAGCAGCATTCAGGATTCCCCCATGCACTGAGAGCTGCTCAACATGCCAGAATGAAACTCTTTTCTGCATCCAACAGTGTATTATAAACCAATCCTGTTGGATTTTCAGGGCTCCTTTAATAGGCTTGATCCTACACAGACATGCCAGACAGGCCAGTAGTTATGGCTTATCTTAGGAAACTATTCTGATAAGTACTGGATCCTAAAATTGAAATGGGGGGAGGGAGGGGAAAGGGAGGACTGCTAGGTCAGCATGGCCCCTCTGTGCACCATGCAGAGCACTGAGAACGGGCACTATTCGGAATAATGTGCAGGAAACTGATTATGAGAAGTTGACTAAACTCCTTTGAAGTCAGTGGACTTAAGCATATGCTTAATGGCCCTTCCTAAATAGGGACTTTTTCCTGGATGAGGGCCCAAACAGCTGTTTATCCATTTGTACTTCTATATTTTACACTATTCAGCTTTTTCCTGAGTGTACTGCACAGTCACGTCTTGTTTATGCTTTGACCTACCGTAAGCTTGATATTTTAAGAAAATGCAGCATGATGATAAATATCTGTGTTTTCTCTTTTAGCCATGAAGAGCCTGTGTAGTTTAAATATGAACAGCACCAAACTTTCAGCAGATACCTACGAAGATCTCAAGGTATTTCTGAATTGCATCCACTAAAGCTGAAAAGTAGGTGATCCAGGAGGACTTGCAGATTTAGCAAGTGCATGGTGGTAGTGTCTAGGGCAGAGAGAGCTTGCTCCATGGAGAAGATAGCATGAAAGTCATCTGAAGATGATGAACTGGATTATTTTGGGGAAATAATTACTCAAAACAGCATTGTGAGGTTGCTGGCTTTGATGGACTGTTGTGGTTTAAGCCCAGCCAGCAACTCAGCCACATAGCCACTTGCTCACTCCCCCCCTCCCCCACTCCTGGAGGGATGGGAAGGAGAACCAAAGAATGTAACCTCCACGGGTTGAGATAAGAACAGTCCAGTAACTAAGTCATAACACAAACCACTACTGCTGCCACCAGTAATAATAATGATAAGGGAAATAACAAGGGAAGAGAATACAACCGCTCACCACCTGCCAACCGATACCCAGCCCAAACTGAGCAGTGATCTAGCCCTTCCAGGTAACTGCCCCCAGTTTATATACTGGGCATGACGTGCTGTGGTATGGAATACCTCTTTGGTTAGTTTGGGTTAGGTGTCCTGTCTCTGCTTCCTCCTGGCTTCCCCTCATCCCTGGCAGAGCATGAGACTGAGAAAGTCCTTGGTCAGAGTAAACATTACTGAGCAGCAACCAAAAACATCAGTGATATCAGCACTGTTCCCAGGCTGAAAGTCAAAACCACAGCACTGCACCAGCTACTAAAAAGGAGGAAAATGACTGCTACTGCTGAACCCAGGACATGGACTCAGGAAACATTTCATATGCTAAATAGATGAGTATGAGATGGAATCAGAAACTGAATCTTTTTGCCAGTGCTATCAACAGTAAAGGTTTCATAAGTAGGAGCATACTGGTTGTTTCTGATGAGTATACAGAGACAGGTAAAATCTAGTGCAGACCTCCAGAGCCGTGTCCTGCACTGTTAACAAGACAAAAAGTAATGTGGCTGAACAGCATTACAGAGTCATGATTCAGAATGCCAAGGGAGAATTAAAAGCATTGGGGAAGGTGCAATTTTCTCTTTGACACCTCTTGGGCTGGAATTGGGCTTTAAATAGGAATGCCTGTGCTAATGCTCAGTTCCCGAGTTTGACGTGTGAGACTTATACTTTGAATTTACAACTGCTTTGGTAAAATGGTGTAAAGCACTAGAATGTAGCTGTGGGAGGGGAGCATTCCAGATGGTTTCAAAGACTGCCTGAGATGCGTTGGCTTTCATGACTTCACATGAACTTTGTCTTCACACTAGGGTTGTGTGAGTCACATCTCCCAAAGTCTTACCTTATAAACTCAAGGGCTCAAGATGAAACTCAACATTATATTATCTTGTGTGCTGAAACCTTAGATTGTGCCAGGCTTGTAGCCTTGGGTTGAGTTTCGAACTTGAGGCAAGTCCTGAAGCTGCTCTGCTTTCAAAATTCACTGCAAACATCTCTCTGGTTCTGGCTGTGGAGACAGGGCTCCCCTGGGGACTCAGTTGCAATGCTGCTAGCATGGATTTTTCAAGATCAAGTCTTCAAAACTTGTGTCGCAATTGTATATGCAAAGAAGTTGCTTTTGGAATTAACAGCTGGCTTGCAGATGGGTTCACACGATGGAGCTTGTGTCAGGCCTGAAGTATTTACAGGCAGTCAAGGTCAATGCTGTATTTGGCCCAGGGCTCTGAAATCAAATCTATTGAAAGGCTCCCCCACTCCTACCCCTGGAGCCCCTTTGCCACTAAGTTCATACTGAAACTCATATTTTCCTAACTGGTTTCCTCTGCTCTGGTATTGCATTAACAGTCCTTAGTAGCAACACAAGAAAGTTACTTGCCAGGGCAAACAGCAAAACTGGCTGTGAGCAAAGTCCCAATGATTGCAGAGAATTAAAAAAAAAAAAAAAAAAAAGATGAGGAAATAGGCATGTGTCACTTTCCCCCCCCCCTCAATTGAGACTTATCTTAATGGCCATTTTTTTAGAGCTCTGTGTGTGTTTAAAAGGAGGGTAATAGTTTCCCTGGGGCACATGGGTGTAGGTCTGTTGGGAGCAGCTTAGACTTCAAAGAATGCATTTTTTATAAAAATCTCTCCTTCTTCTCCCCTTGGTCTGCGAGAGCATTTGGGGCACATGCCAGTGATGACATTTCCTTTCAGCTCCATCCCCCATCCCACTAAACATACTTGCACACACACACAGACACCCACATATGTAACAGGCCAGCTGAACCAGACAATAAACTCACACGCATTATTGAAGTCATTATTGCCTAACTGAAAAATTATTTGCTGGTGGTGTCTGTAAGATTATGACTAGCTCTTATCAAAATATGCATGCACATAAATCAAGGAGTGAGGTAATAATGACTCCTAGAAACTTCTAACTCCTCAAGTATGCCCTAGCCTAATTAAACATGTTTATTTTTTCTGAGAGAATTAGCCATATGATTATGGTCACAGAGCATAGAAATGGAATCCATGAGTAGGAATACTACAAACAGCCAACTGCTATCTGCCTCATGCAGGGTAATTCAGGAGCAATATGTCCAAATGCAGTGGAGTTATGGAAAGGAGACCACAAAGACACCAAAAGTTGCTAACACTCTCAATTTTTTTTTTAAGTCAAGCACTGACTGAGTGTAGAGGCTGAAGAAGGAATGTGGGGTTGTCTGCTGCAGTTTGAGTCCACTGCCTTCATAGATGGAGTTTGACAAAAAAATTTCCTAATTTTCATGGAATTATAGAATCACAGACTGGTTTGGGTTGGAAGTGATTAAAGCTCATCCAGTTCCAACCCCCTGGGCAGGGACACTTTTCAATAGACCAGGATGCTTAAAGCCAAATTTTGCTAAGCATTTGTATAAACAGCAAAGATTTTTATTTTTTTAATGAAGGCTCCACACTGTGTCCCTTTGTTAACACCTGTATGCTCCAGCTCACTGCTGAGCTCAGCACTGGTACTCTGCAGGGCCGAGGGTGTAGTGCATCTCCCTGAAGTTTGTGGCCAATAGATCAATCCTCCCAGGTTGCTGATAGTACGGATTTTACAGGAACTTTTTTCCTGACTCCTGACCATGTCATTAATTCTGCCCTTTTCCTACCCTCCTGCACAGGCGAAACTACCCAATCTGAAAGAAGTGGATGTCCGCTACACCGAAGCATGGTGAACTCTCCCTGCCTCTGACTCTTCTCTTTTGCTTCTCATGGGAAGAAAAAGATTTTTAAGACAGAGAAAAACAAACCGGAAAATAACTTTTGGCTAATCCCTGTAGAGCAGTGAATCCTGGGACTTGGTGGCAGGAGTCATGGTTGTGGGGGAGAGGAGTGCTGATATGTGTCGGGGGGGATGGGGCAAGCCTGAACCCTGCTGTATTCTTTCAGCTTTGTGATTTCAGAATCCACATAATTTACACTGGAAAGAAAAGAAAAAAAAAAGACTTTGTAGCAGCAAGAGGATTATAAAGAGAAAAAAACACCTTTGAATTTTATTTGCCTTTGTGTTTTATGTCATGTGGAGAAAAATAAAAGAATAATTCATTTGTCATTATTTGCCTGGGTTTCCTTGGCTGGCACCCAGCCAGTCAAAACTCCCCTGTCACCAATTTTGCTCTGGAAAATCCAACTTACAGAAATCTCAAGAGAAAAAAAACAAAACCAATATGATTTTCACCTTCCCCCGTATCCTTGCAGTTGTTATGCAAAGTAATTTTGTTGTTCATAAGATTTACATAATGCACCTATTTAAGAAAATAGTTCACAGGTCTGGGACCCGTCTTCTGTTTATGAATTGTTATTTCTTTTACCCTTTTTTTCATATAGTACTGTATGAACTACTTTACTGTCTTATTTTATATTTTTTAAACAAATTGTCCTCCTTGAAGAATTGCCTCTCAATAACACATACTGTATTATACACCCTTTATGTCATGACATTCATTGCATTGTCTTTTTGATTTCAAAATGCCTCAACTGTTATCAAATAGGAAGGAAAATATCTCTCAAGGGGTATGGTTGTTGGGGGAGGAGTGCAGGGATTAATAAAAGTCACATTTCCTTCTGAAGCCTGAAAGCTTTCTTTAGTCTTTTAAACCATGTCAGGTTTAAATATGGGAGATGGGGGCAAGATGATGTTCATTTTGCCAGTGGGGTATTCACCTAACTCTGTATACTTTACAAGTTGCCTCTGCTGTTTTCTGTTTATATCCAACATTTCAGAAAGAGAAAAAAACGCTCTCTCTCCATATTGTGCATCAGCTTATTCTGTTCCCCTCCCTGTTCTGTGCATGCATTGTTCTGCATATTCGTCTGGGGAGACTGAAGAAATAGCGTTGTTGCTGATCCAATAGCTCTGACGTGTCTGTAAATGTGACTGCTATATTTTTCAAATTCCACAATTGCTTAGAAGATGATTTTTTTAATAACTGTGGTTTCTTTTATGTCTACGCTGTTGACTTTTTTCATAATGAGCCTTCATTGTACAAAGCTGCTTATTTAAAAACCAAAACAAAACAGAAAGATGTTTTTCCTGTTTAACACCTTTATTTTATTCTTCAGCACCTCAAGGTTTCACATACAGCCAATGTAATTTTTTATATATAAATAAATATATAGTTAATCTTATTCAATGAAGCCAAACTTTTGGGTTTCATTGTTTTGGTTTTGCTTTTTTTTTTTTTTTTTAACCTTTGTTGCTGCATAGACAACCCCTGCCCAAATCATGGGGTGGGGTTTTCCCTTTTTTAAAAAAAAAAAAAAAAAAGAAATAGGAAAATAGGAATTGACTCAACTTATGTAGTGTGCCAGTTTATTTCCCCCTTCAAATCCCAAGCTATATGAGGATGAAGTATGGAAAGAAAAAAAAAAAAAAAGAAAAATTAAGCCAAATTTTTCCTTAGCGCTGTTGCTTTTACCAATAGTTTACTACTACCATTCTGTAGCTGTGTAAAAAGAGATGTGAAGTAATTTCAGGCAAAAATAAATTGTAAGTGAATATCTTTTAGCTGCGTGCTTTGTGTTTTTCTCTGGCCTGGTGACATGGAGATGCTGGGGAGGTGCAGACACCAGAGCTGGAGGACAATGGCTTCCCAAGGACAGGGTCTCAAAGAACTGCAGGCTCTCACTGCTTGCTTCATGCTGCTCTCCCACTCTGTGCACCTCGGTGTGCCTCAGCCCTGCCCCTTTCCTCCATTGGCAAAGCAGGGGCACCAGCAGGCAGCCGGAGTGGGTGTTTTCCACCAGTCACCAAGTTTTGAGGTCCCATCACCTGGAAGGGACAAGAAGGAGGAGGACAGCTGAGCCTCTGTGCATCCGGTTCTTGTATCCCTACCCAAGACTGTTTATCTGCAGTGTTCTTAATCCTTCACAGGCTCAAGAAGTCCTTGCACTGGCTATTAAAAGCTGCATTGGTGATTTGGTTTTTGTTTTTCTCAGATTGCCTGAAGTCTTGTGGAGCAATGGTTATTCTCATGAGGGCCTGCACAACCCAGGATTAGAGCCAAGTGAGACAGCCTTGAACTCTCTCTGACTCAGCTGAGCCGAGGAGGCCTGGAGTCAAAGAAATGTAAGCAGAACGTTGAAACAGGAGCTTGCTGGCCACAAGGAATGCACCGCTTATCACAAGGCATGCACCCTGCTGTTGCAAGAGATGCTGTAAAACTTAGCTTAGCAAATAGCAATGGTATAGACCGGCGTGTGGACAGGTTTATGGCCCGATGAAGTATTAGCTGTCATTCAGCCAGGCTTCAATGGTATAAATTAGGTGAGCCTGTGCAATAAATCGAACAAGAAGCGTAACTCATATTGAGATTGTGTTCTTGATTCGGGTCTCCCCTCCGACATTTGGAGCCCTGAACGGGGACTCGAGGTTGTACTCGGACTTCTCCAAACTGTGTCTGGCCGTTGCAGCAAAGGCACAGACGGGGGAAGCTAGGAGCCGGCAATGCAGGAAGCGTCTACTCACAAATGCGGCGCAGCTCGGCTACTGGCAAAAGCAGTGAAGCTCAGTTACCGGCAAAAGCGGTGCAGCTCGGCTACTGGCAAATCAATGAAGCTCGGCTAGGAGTGACAGCTGATGTGGCCTGCGCACCCACACCTGCACGGGTAAAACCGCACTCTAAAATCCACCATGGATCGAGAGGCGGCACTCACACTTTTAGAACAATTACTAGTGCTAGTGTGAGCACGAAAAAGCTCAGAGAGCTATGTCGTTGGGCGAAGGAGAAAGGACATCTTAAGGACCCAGGTTGATCATGCTCGGTGGGAGTATAGGGAACTCTATGAGGACTCCATGGCGGGAGATGGGTTCCTGGGGGTCACCTGGAGGGAGGTCATAAATCAGCTGCAGCAGATGGTGGCAGAGAAGAGGATGGCTATGGCAGCTACTAAGCTGTTTGGATCAGAAGGGCCCCCCCGCCTGATACACGTGGTTTTGACCATCTATTGGCCGATACAGCCAAAGGTGTTATCCCTATTAAGGACACACCTGAAGAAGTGGCCAAGGAAACTGATAAAGTTCTGCAGAAACCCTCATAGGCAGGGGAAAGGGAGACCCCTCCGCCCCCCCCGAACCCACACCAAGGGGCCCCAACTCTCGTCCTCGGGAAACTCGCCCGCATTATGTGACAGACGAGTCTGACATCGATTCGGAACCCAACGGCGTACCAAGAGAACCCCCTAAGACCACCCCGGGACCCCTCTCCCCTCAAAAGTCAGGACCCTCAGATAGATCTGTAATGGACATTGGAAAGGGAATAAGGGAGATGGGTGGAATTCCCGTGGGGGATGTCCAGGTGACAACTACTAATGGGGTATTAGTGAAACCCACTGCAGCAAATAGTTGTTGGTCTGGGGTTATCAGAGATGCCATTTTGGAGGGTGAGTGGCAAGCAGCATCGGCATTGGCATTCCCAGTTCAGACCATAACAACACCCCAGGGACAGCCCAGGGCACAGTGGCGTCCTTTCGACTGGAAGCTAATGCAGCAGCTGCGGGCTACTGTCTCTCAGTATGGGCTTCACTCTGAACCAGTGAGACATCTTTGTCTTATGTTTTTGGGTCAGAGGTTATGACACCTAATGATTGCATGTCACTAGCCCATTTAGTTCTAACACCCTCTCAATACTTGCTTTGGGAATGTATAGGCCTGGCGTTGTGGGATGAGATTAGTAAAGGGACAAAGGAAGCCCTGAAGTATTCTACGTTATGGAGATGGATAATTGAGACCTTAAAGGAAATGAAATAGGAACAGGCAGCAGTGGCATCTGTTTTCCTGGCTGCTACTCCTTCACAAAGTCAGTCAGAGGTAGAGAAGAGTGCTGAGTGCTGCCTCTATGGTATTTCCCCCCCCCAGTGTGCCTGGCACGGCACTGCAGAAGCCTCCTCGGTATAAGGGGGAAGATAAAGTGAAAGGGCGCTCGCGTCCGAAAGTACAAGTAGAAAGTGCAAACGCGGTCACCTTCGACCTAGAGGAAGAAGACGCCGAATTGGAATTGGAACCAGACCCAGAGACTCTGGCAGAACTGGACTTGTACCCTCCCCTTCCTGATCCTGACTCAGAGGGTTTAGACAGTTTGGCTTATCGGCAGATGCGAACCAGCCTCAGTGATGGTCAACTGCAACAGCTGCTGAAGAAATTAAAGTATTGGAGACAAAAGAAACCTCCGAACCTTCTGCCCCACCCTCCTACAATCCAGTAGTAAAGAAAGGGGAGTGGGAGGGGGGTGTTGGGCACGGGTAGGGGATTACAGTAATAACCCTGCTAAAGATTGGCCTGGGATGATCAAAGATGCAATTGTTATGGGGGAATATTCGGCTATGGGTCCCTCGGCATTCCCGGTGTTTAACACTCCACAGGGGGGAAAGAAGTGGGAGGCATTGGATTTAAAGGCAGTAAAGGAGGCGCATCAACCAGTAACATCCTACGGGTTAAAATCATCGTATACTCAGGCAATTATCACACACATTTTTTCTGCATATATCCTAGCACCATATGATATCCATATAATAGCTCAATTGTTGTTTACTCCCCACCTCCAGATATGATTTAAAGTGAGCACAGCAGAGGAAAAGGCTGGATACATGGCTACTGCCTATGCCACTGCTGTTAAACCCCTTCTACAATAAGGTTAGGGTGACTGTGGGGGTGCTAAAGGTGTGAGATGTTATAATTGTGGACAGATGGGAAATTGTAAAAAGAAACAGTGTACTGAAAAAAAAAAAAATCAGTTCAGCAACCTCCCCCCCCCGTGGGTTACTAGTTTTGCAGATAAATGTGTTAGATGTGACAAATTATTGCCCCAGGACACCCCCCTTGTCAGTGATTGAATGAATTGAGATTTTATCTTAGGACATCCGTTTTATGGATGTTTTCAGTCCTTCTTAAAGTGAAGGGAGTAATCTTTTTTGCGTTAAAGTTCTGCATCAAGACCTGCAGTGGGAAGGTCTCTCATATGCTCTTATCAGGAGTATCGGGCAGACTGTGATGGACTGTGGACTTATGACCCCATATACAACTCATTTAATACATTCT